TCTTAACTGTCCAGCTCTCACATCCATGCATGGTAATAGGGAATACAAAGTTGTATATCTGCATGTTAAAATCTTTTCTTGTTCTTTCATAGCCATCCTCCCCATTCTTAATCTTCTGATTTCCTGACTTCAGTCCCCATTTCTATCAATGTTTGATCCCAGATATGGGAACTCTTTTGCTATTTCTATTTCCTCATTGTCTAGGTTGAACATGTGAAGGCCCTCGGTGGTCATTTTTTCCCCCTGTATGTTCAACATTAAGCCTACCTTTGCACTTTCTTATTTGATCTTCCTTAGAAAGTGTTCCAGGTCTGTGAGGTTCTCTGCTAGTATTATGGTCCGTCAGCATATCTCAGATTGCTGGTATTCCTTCCTCCTATTTTCACTCCTCCTTCTTCTGTGTCCAAGCCTGATTTTCTTTATATGTTCTGCATACAAGTTGAACAGATAGGATGAAAGGATGCAGCCTTGTCTGACTATTTTTCCAATTGGGAACCATTCTGTTTCTGCATGTTCTGTTCTGACAGTGGCCTCTTGTCCTGAGTACAGATTCCTCATCAGGACTATCAGATGTGTTGGCACTCCCATGTCTTTAAAGACGTTCCATAGGCTTTCATGGTCTATGCAGTTAAAGGCTTTGCTATAGTCTATAAATAATAATATAATAATAATTTTTATTTATATCCCACCCCTCTGCTAGGCAATCGGGGCGGCGTACAGCATTTCGAAACATCAAAACAAACTGGGTGGTGCTGGGGTTAGTTAGTGTCTCTCCCCCATGCTGATTTTCTTTTGGAATTTGCTGGTGTGCTCCATTAACCATTGCATGATTGCAATGTGGTCCCTAGTGCCTCCTCCTTTCCTGAACTCTGCTTGGACCTCTGGGATCTCTCTTTCCATGTATGGTTGGAGTCTATGTTGCAGAATTTTGAACATGATTTTGCTTGCATGGGAAATTAGTGCTATGGTCCTATGGTTGTTGCAGTCTCTTGTATCTCCTTTTTTTTTTTTTTTTTTTTT